ATTATTATTATTATTATTATTATTATTATATGTTTATTTCAACTTCAGACATTTTTGCTACATGAATACAGAATATTGCGGGCATGAATAGTCTAAGCAAATATCTGCATGACTGGTTTTACAATGTATACAAATTTAACAATGTACAGACGTTTCACAATCTCACAGTTCTGTGAAATAACCCATTATTATTATTATCATCATCATCATCATCATCATCATCATTATTATTATTATTACTACTATTGATCTGAAGTGACCTCCACTGTACGTCCATGATGTCTGATATTGATATGAAACCACTTCATCCTAAAAATAAACTCCTTCTTTATGGTCGTTATGCTTTATTTAAAATATCCTGGCATTTAACTGTTGCTGACCTCGGAAAAACATGGATAACTGAAAATCTTGACCCCTAAAGGTTCTGACACACGTTGCAACATTGCATGCAACATTGCACGCAGCAGGAATGTTGCAGCGTGTGTCTATCCCAAACTTGTTGAAAGCAGCGTTAGCATGCAACAAATCTGAAGTTGAATCGCGCTTTACTCTTGCAACATTGCGCGCAACAAATTTCATCATGTGAACATGGCTGCAACATTACCTGCAACATTTTGAAATTTCCAGCCAATCACCTTGCACCAAATTTATAACTGCTGACCAAATATCTTAACAAATCAGGCCGACACAAGCGGTGTTGCGATGTTGCAATGTTGCGTTCAATGTTGCACCGTGTGTCAGCACCTTAGTAAATCAATATCTTCGTAGATGGCTAGAAATCCCCATATCTGGAACCCTAAGTAACACTTATCTACCACGAAATAAATTTGGTCTAAATATCATCCCCCCTTCAGCCAAGTTCATTCAATGCCAAACCGTTACAAGAAAAGTCCTAAAATCATCTAAAAGCAGCGACATAAAATATCTTTGGAAGTCGTCCAGTAACAGCTTAATGATTCAATATGATGTTTTTCAATCAACTAAAGAAGTACTCAAGAACTTTAGATCTACACAAGAGGAAAAACTAACACATCATCTGCTATCACAAGGATTATTTTTCACAAACATCATGAAGTACTCGAGCTCCCTGCCATCATTTCATTCAATCTAGTCTACCGCTCACGCTAATCTACCTAAGAACATTTTTAACTTTACCATTGTACCTTTACCAAGTTTTAAGGTGGCTGGAACCCCTCACCACGCTTGACCGCTACCTTCCACGTTTGGAACGCTGCTGCACAAACGTGTTTTATCTGATTGCAAATCTGTTTTGCACATAAGTCACATAAAGATTGAATTAATGTTTGATGCAGTTTTTAATGAGATCGGACGTCATAACACGTGATTATGATGAAATATTTAAGCGAAAGGATGTTAGAATCGCTCACTGATAACTTCTAGCTGTGTTTTGTTTTGTTTGAACTTATCTTTTATCTTCGCAAAAATTGCTTTACGTAATTCAAGTATTTATTTCAACAAATTTAAACATCTTAAGACACAGAAACATTTTGAACTCAAGGCATAACTATTTTGATGTGTTCAGCATAACAGAATATTAACCTATATATCTTGCTTAATGTTTTGTAGGAAAATATCATATACTGTGTTCAAATTTATAAAGAAAACTGTAACTGGACTTTTTGAACACAACATTTTTTCAACAGAACTATCTTGCAACATAAAGAAGGATGACTTCTCATAAACAAAAAAGAACGTGACTTCATATTGTTTCAGCAATCTTACATACAAAAAAATGATCAAAAGCTTTCTACTGTAATCAAAAACCCTTACTATAACAAATTTGCCACAGATGTTACCAAAATATAAAGGAATTTAATATACATCACATACATGATTTACTGCGATTCCCAGTCACACGCGACTAAGTGAGACCTAAATCACAACGAAAAATTGAGTTTTGGTGGACGTCAATCAAAAGGGTTTCTATCTTTTCTATTGGTTTCTACACTAGGACTGATGTAAATACTCACGTGAACGTGAAGTAAGAAGCCTAAGATGAAGTACCAAACTAAACGTCCGAATATTCAAGCAAATACTCACAATCTAATCAATGCCTTTCTTGCGAAGTACAAGTGAGTTAACCTTTTTAAATGATGATTTAAAGTCTCTCCACGTTTCTTTTTGGTGTGGCTGGGACATTTTCCTAGCATACCAGCGTTATTTTGCCCATTTTTAGGAGAATATATACTTTTTAAACCACTTCATCTTGTTGACTCAGCAATCATGTACACGTCAGAGACCCGATGCGCATGCTCAGTTTATATAATCGAAGTACGCATGCGTATTTGATTTCCCAGGCGTTCCTAACTGGCGCTAACTGCGCATGACTGCATTTCGTAGACGATGGAAAAAAAGAACTCGGACCTTCCTTCGGAAGAAGCCCGAGTAATAAGTTAATCCAAATCCCCTAAATGACCAGCGACACTAGAGAAAAACGTTTGCGCATGCGTGCACTTCAGCACGTTCTCTAAGAATTTTGAAGAGTTTGAGTGAGAAAATAAATGTTTGTTTTCTCCAAGTATACAAAAAAGTTCGAGAGTATACTTTTGTCAGGCCAAGATACTGTATTAACAAACACAATATGAAAGAATTAGCCTTACGTTCCAAGCATGGACGCTAAGTTTTGGCATTTTGTGAAGTCCAATTTAACAGGCATGTTTGAAAGTCAAATTTACATATGCTTTGACTTATTTGAATACGGGTTCAGAGCATGCGCAGACGCTTTTCACTCGTGTCCAATCGAGCT